CACACACACACACACACACACACACACACACACACACACACACACACTTCCCCTTTCTCTTCTCACACTTTATCAGATCTGGTGGAAGAATGAGATGGAAACACTGATACGTGATGGATCACATATTTATTGGACACACATACACACACACATACACCCACATACACCCACACACACCCACACACACACACCCACAGAGCAGAACTCAGGGACTCGTTGAGGAAGGAGTTGTGGTCAAGACTTTACTGGTTAGTGCACAGTGTCGTACACTCGTTCTCCCACACGCACTTCTTTTACACATGTGATATATTATGCATACATGTGTGAGTAACGCACTCACCGCGGTCATAAATTAGATATATGGCGGTGGTGGCGGCGGCAGTGGAGGAGGGGGTGCTCAGAGAGGAGTGTGTGTATTTGTGTGCATGCGAAATGAGGAGGGGAGGAAGGATGGAGGGGGGGGGGCACAGATGGCTGTGGCCTGAGGCATTCGAGGTACTGCAGCTAAACATGGAGACTGCAGCACACACACACACACACACACACACAGGAGATTAAGTGTTGGGGGGCCTGCTCACATATACAAACACTTCAACATATACTGTATAGAAGCAGAAATAGGAGACACACAGATGCAGACAGTCAACCTCTAAAGAAGAAGAAGCGAAAAATATCAGCATAAAATATCAGTAAAAAATGTTAGATTAATGATTGATTTCAGGGGTGGATAGAAGTACATTTACTACTGTACTGAAGTACACATTTGAGGTACTTGCTATATCATGCTTTATACTTCAATTAAAGAAACAAACATTGTACTTTTTGCTCCACTACATTTATTTGACAGCTATAGTTACTGATTACTTTACAGATTAACACACACACACATATATATGTATAACACTTTGTTTGGATAGTCGGCCCACAAATAGTTTGTTCATTTGTAACATTTTAACAACCTGTTAGTCGCGGTGTTCAACAGATCGTCTTGAACTAACAGATTGTTTTGAGTAGTTCAAGATCTAAACTAAATTATTCTCGGACTACGTTGGTGTCTTAACGAGTTGTCAAATAAACTCGACAGAAATAATCTGTTAAACAAATGCAGAACAGCTGAATCATAAGTGATCAGATGTTCCATACTCTATAAACTAAACTGTAACAGAATATCCAAATAAAGTGTGAATGAATTAAGTACCTTAAGGTATAAATAATACAGTACAATATCTGAGAGAATAGCTGTCTTGTTTTATATCCTGGTTGTATAAAAGGTAAATCACATTTATATCTTGTAAAGAAACTGCAGAAAACATTGAGCTATGAAGATTAGTATTAGTTATTGAAAGTATAACATGTATTTTTATTTTTTAAAGAAATAGAACCATTACAAACACATTATTATTATTTTTAATATTATTATTCCTAGACAAACTTTCTTGTATATCATATGAAATATCAACTTTTTGACCCTATTCTATTGCCCGTTTTTAAATATTTTTCACATTGTGCTCAAATTGCCCTCTAGATGCATTTCGCTGCTTCACTTTCAGCTCAGTAATCGTCTTAAATCAGGATGAAGGAGAGGAGTCTGACAGCCTCGGCCTCATCTGTCACTCGTCCCCCGATGATTCATGTAAGTGTCTTTTGTCTTTACTGTGGCCTCTCGGATTCTCTCACCGTCCAACAGCTTGCCTCTGTCACGTCTTGTTCACACACTACGACACAATACAACTTTCTCCCATTCTCTTTCTCTTTTTAACCCCCTGGTCCTTCTTCATTCCTTCTCTCTCTCTCTCTCTCTCTCAATCAGTTCCTCTCCTGCTCTTCCCGCTGCATTCCCCCATTCCTTTTTCTTTCTCTCCCCCTCCCTCTCTTTTACTCCCTCCCCACCCTCTCTCCCACTTGTCTGAACTCTGACAGGTGTGTAATTGAATGATTAATGACCACCACACAGTACCCCCCCCCCCCTAAAACACACACTTTATGTTAAAATGGAATTGTACATATTTATGCACACACACATGTTCATGCGCCGGCACACGCAGACGTGCACATTTTCACATTACACATGTGTATTCATTTTGCTTCAATAGCCCAAATGGTCAAATTCAAACCAGTGGGAGTCTTGAAATGATGGAGACATTAGAAGGAGTGCAGCAATGCACCGAGTGCAAACATATATTATCCCGCACTGTGCAAGAGCTGCCCATTTAAAAAAAAAATGACACTGTTGTCATTTACACAGTGTTTCAACTTGTGGGAATTTCCCACAAAGATGTTATTCGTTTATAGTCATTTTCTAAAGAATTCTGCCAAAACACTGCAGCTCTGACTTGTGCAGTTGTATTCTCTTCTAAGCACAGCACACAAACAATCAAACACAATGCAGATAAATACACCCAGGCTCCTTCTCCCCCTCTCTTTCACCCACCTCCTCTTCATTTGTCAACATAAAGGCAGATTTTATGCGGTGTAATTCCCACCGTCCGTGTTGGCGAGAGGAAAGGCTGCCGATCTATCTGAACCAATAACACGCCGAGGCTATATGACTGTGAATGATGGTGTGCGAGAGAGGGCTGAACACTGATGTATGAATAAAGTATGTGCTGTTGATTTTTCTGCCGTAATCCCTGCCTGGGATCATACGTTTTAGGATCGTTGTTTCCAAATAGCTGGAGAGAAAGAAAAAAAAATATTTCAAGGGGGGTGGGGGGGTATTCATATGTTATGAACGCCATGCACCGTTATGCAGCAGATCAACAGGTTCATATGTGGTAGGATACAGATTGTGTGTGAAGTAGAGAACGACTGATTGTTGTTTTCTGAAGGCCGATGCTGATAGCTGCCGACTCGTGGTTCAAGTCACTGTTTACTTTTTTGTGTATTGAACATAAACCATAAAAACAGTTTCATAATATACATTCATGAATCGATATTGTTCGAAAACCAATTTCATACTTTGTCAGTGAACATTTTACTGAAACATTGAGGATCAGCGTCTTTAGACTTTACAGATTCAAAAGTCTGGGATTTCGGGTTATATTGATGTTTTTCTTCTTTCCTTCAATCATGGCTATTTTAAAAGAGATAAAAACGGTTTGATTCAGACATCAAATGTATTACATGTCTTTGAAATATTTTTTCTCCCCAAAAAAATAAAAATTAAATAATTCAAACTTCCATTTTGTCGACGTCCCCACAGTGTTGCACGACAGGGGAGAATACTGTTGGATCTTGGTTTTAGAATTTGTTGTCCTGTCCAGAGAAGCGTGTGTGACCCTCGATTGTTCTTTTTATTGAATCACAACGCTGCAATTGGCCTCCACATATTTTGAGAAGCTGTTTATCGTTGGGCCCTCTGCAGTCTGCTCAGTGGTCAGATTGATTGTTTAAACTGTGATTAATCAGTCCACAGTGTGTTCAGTTGATATTCAAATTTAAATTCTATTGTGGAGTTTGAAGGAGCGCTTTAATTTAAATCAATCTATTAAATTCGGTTCCTAATTAAATCTGCACGGATGTTGCTAAGCTTCCAGTTTCTATTACCAATGACCGGTGTTTTCTTGTAATCTTATTCAACTATTGCTCGGAGGGATATTCAGTCTGGTTGAACATTGTACAGCGTCTTGTTCTTCATGTACAAAACAAACCCTTCATACAAAATAACGTTTTGTTAAAAAGGACTCTCTACAACCTAAAGTCATGAAAGCCCATTTTAAAAGTACAGAGTATCCTCTCAGACATCTAACTGTAAGCGTTTATCTCAGGCGACTCTAAACCTTTGAACGGCAGCGTTTAGTGCTGAGCTATTTTGGTCAGACATTCATAGTCCCCAGTGGATGCATCTTCATGACTTTGGTTGTCCTTTGACTTTCTATCAAACGCCAACATGAGGTTGACATTTGTAAAATGTAATGAAATATCTATTCGATACACTGCTATGAGATGTAGTGAGCACATTCATGGTCCCTTCAGGATGAATTTTAACAGGCTCTCTTAGCTCGGCTCGGCACTTTCTTCGTAGTTTGCGTCATTAGTGCTGTTAGCACCGTTAGCTGTGAGCCGCTATCTAACGGAGGTGGAGTGTGAGGAGGGACACAGAGAAAGGAAAAGTGGATGGATGCCGAGGTCAGGACCCGGGTGCCAGGGAGAACAGCCATTTCCTGTTGACCTCTTTATGAACTCTGGCCCCTGACCCTGCCCTCCCGCTCCGGGCCAAATGGGGGCAGGGTGAGGCGGGGGGGGGATCAGTGTTTGTTGTGTGTTTGGGGTGCTGTGGGTGACTGCAGGGTGAAATCAGGGATGGATGTTTGATGTCCAAAAGGATGTACATCAGAGAGGAGGTGAAGGTTATGGATAGGATGTGGAGGGAAAAGTTAGGAGGGTTGTTTTCTCTTTGAGTGTTTGTACGTGTTGACATATGATATTCTCCTTACTTTAAGTTTAGGTGATAAATAAGGAGAAGGAACTGGAAATGTGATAATCCTGCCTGTGTGACAGATCACTGCAGCTGCAGCCTGAGGCCTCTGTCAGAGTCTCTCAGAGGACGGGAAGCAGTGACGTGACTTATGGTTGGGAAAAAAAGGAAGGAGATTACACTATTTGTCAAGGAAAGGCCATGTAGAGGTGAGTGGCTTTTATTGTGGTTTATTTAATGTGTTTAAACTTCTCATGGAGTCTAAATATTCCTTAGTGGTATGGAATGTCGTAAAGCAAGATCACCAGATTGCACATAAAAGTAGAAGGTATAGAAGAGTGAAAGAAGGCACCTGAGACCTTCAAACAGAGCATATGAATTTTGGAAAAATAATTGCTCCAAAATGAGGAACATTTTGCACATTAAATGAAATTATTGAGTTGTTTTTGGATCAAACGGACTTTCAGAGATCCTAGACATTGGCTGTGTCCAAAATCCACACTAAATACTATATAAACAGTATAAACTTCATACTAATCTTCTTACAAAGAAATTCATTCCTATGTGGGAGTTCATAGGTATACATAAGTTAGTAGTACTTGTACATGCAAGACACAATAAATGGCTTGACTAGCTATAACTAAATAGCCAACAATGCTAAATGCTAAAGTACATCCTGAAATGAAATGATTTTGCTGACGAGTTGCTAATCAAAAGTAACTTTTTTACTTCTTATTTAATTATTTAACTCACAAGATTTACCTGGAGCCGTCTAACCAAAATCTGCAATTTTTCTTTTTTAATCAACTGCACACTCATTAATAAAGTAAATGTATGCACAGTGCGGACTTCTTTGATTATAATTCATTTAATAATAAAACCTGCATTTTCAGTCAGAAACTTGAAACCCGTCCCCCTCCTGCACAAAGCAATAAACTGTCTGCGGGTAGAATCAGACAACACACACAAACAGAAAGCCAGTGACGAGTTTTTACAAAAAAACATTTTAATACTTTAAATGTATATTTCCCATCATCATTCAGAAAGGTTTCAGCAGTCCGAGCAGAGCGGAGAGGGAGCCGAATGTTTAGAGAGTCCTTTGGCTGCAGCTCCTCTCACACACACCGCTGTGACACGCACACAAAATGGTCTAGAAATGCTTACAGAACATTGTGTGTGTGTGTGTGTGTGTGTGTGGAAATGGCTTTCAGTGTATTGTGGTGTGTATGTTGGTGTGTGTGCGTGTAGGAAAGATCTTAAGGTAACGGACACCTGCTGGTGTCTTAAGGAGGTCAGTGGTACGAGAGCGAGGCAGACTGGAAGTCATTCATAGTGTTTAGTTCATGCTGAGGAAGACCACTAATATTTAAATCGGCCTGCAGTGGCACACATAAATATAAAAATAGAATAAGAAAAAAATCAGCTTTAAGTAAAGTGTGTGTGTGTGTGTGTGTGTGTGTGTGTGTGTGTGTGTGTGCGTGTGTTTCTTTGACAGTTGGCGTGTGCAGGAAGACAGGGAGTAGTGAAGAAGGCGTGTTCACAGGATCAAAGTCCCATCCAGTAACGTCCATGTGCTGTCTTCCTGTGGTTCAGCAGGCATGATGGGAAGTGTAGTTTAAAGCATGTGTCTCACCCACAGGACACAGTGGAGACATTTGGAGAGGAGGAAGCACTTCTATTCTGAAAGAGGTATGGCTTAAACCTGTGGGTCTAGACAGTGTGCGTGTGTGTAATGTTTATGTCTAGGTGTGAGTGTGTGTGTGTGTGTGTGTTTGAGTGGAACAGCTACATATTGAGGTCAGTGTCTTTCAGTGGGGAATGTAAACTTTCGGGGCGATGTGTCTTTTTTTTCTTTTTTCTTTAAATAGTGTTCAGTATGCGTCATTACACATACACAGCAGCACACACATACATATCTCACCGCGCACTCACACACACACATTCATACAGTAATTTTCCCTCACACACACACACACACACACACACACACACACACACACACACACACTCCGACTCCTCCCTTCACCCCCACAACTAGTGTGCGTGTATGTCCAGTCCCTGGGCGAGGAGCGGCTCTGCGGGGTGTGCGTGTGGCGGCGGGTGGAGCAGCATGGCGGGGTGGGGGTGTGGGCCCGGGTAGGGGTGGAGGGAGGGACCTGGGTGCGGAGGGTAGCCCGGTTGGGACAGTAGAGCGCCGGGGTAGTCGCCCTGCAGGGAAGACATCCCCTGGAGACCTGGGGGGGAGACACACAGAGGACAAGTTTACAGTTTGAGTGTAACGTGGGACATTTCCATTAAAGTGAATAAACACTGCACAGTATTTAAAATACTAAATCCTGCTACTTTAACCAGTTTTCTGCCTTTGTTTCTCCCTAAGTAGCTTTCACTTTGTTAAAATCATCTTATTCCACACTGACATACTGACACATTCAGCTTGTTCCAGATCGTATCATGTTAAACATTTAAAACTTACACAGATGTATTTGGTACTTTCATAATAAAGCTTTGTGGGTTTTGAACAATGTTTCGCTGCACAGCATGAATTTGTAATGACTGACCCACATGTACACCAGAAAACATTAATATCCTCAGATTAGATTCATTTATTCTCCAGTGTTTTGTGTAACTAAAAGAACCTTTTTTTTCACATTTAAAGCACAGATTGTTCTTCGAAAGGTTCAGTCCACAACTTTCCACACAACGCTGCCTTCTCCAGCATCAGGACGTAAACACGGTTTAAATCAGTCGCATTCATGTTCATATTACAGCAAACATTGATAGGGGAGTTGTGTGAGGCTGCGTAGGGGTTTGTACAGAAACCACCGCTAACGCATCACTAAATAATGACCGACATCACCCTTCACTTGTGCCTATAAATATTCATATTCTTAGTATTTAATGAAAAGGCACAGTGAGGATTAGACAGAGAGTATAAACATATATATTCTATTTAAAATTAATCCGTTCAACTCTGTCTACTTAAGGCCTTATTCATTTTTATTTTGTTTTGGTGATATACTCTTTACTTCCTTAAGTGGACTTAAAGATTAGGCAGCTGATATTCTGTATTTTTCTTATTATCAGCAAATCCTATGAGACCAAAGACCAAAACTAGTAGTGTGATAGTCTCCTGCCCATTTGTTCCTACTGCTAAGGTAAATCTCTAATAAATAAATATATACTTTAATATTTAAAAAAAAAACTCATTCAAACAGGAAGAAACGGTGTGTTTGTTGGGGACTATTTTCAGCGGCGGATTAATCCACATTCTACGCTCTAGTGAGTTTTTCCAGCAGCAGGACGGTGTGTGTGGGATTAAGTCAAAATGAATTAGTGTGTGTGTTCATGGTGACGAGGGAACATGTGATCGAGTGCAACAGTGTGGCTCATCGATGTGCTCTTATTAGTTTATAGAACATGATAAGAGCTCAGAGGATAATATCAGGCTTTTGATACACACTTGTTAGTAGCATACATTTCTTTTGTTTTTCAGTGACTTTGTTGACAGTAAAAAAATATTATATTCAGCCTAATTTATTTTGCACTCTGCAGTCAGTATGTGAGAGCGAGCAGTATTTCCCCTCCAGACTACTGTACCTGCTCGGAGCCCAAGGTGGGCCTGTCCGTCTAGGCCATAGCCCCCGAGAGCTGCTCCCTCTGGGCTGTAAGGACCACCCTGACCTGTGAGACAACACACACCGTCAGACGCAAAATATACAGCACACACACACACATACACACACTCGTGTATGCACAGAGTTGTTTACTGAGCGACCGACCAGATGACTGACTTATAAACACCGACCTGAGCGATTCGACTGGTCAATCATCGGCTGAACTATTCTCCTCCTGGCATTGATGAACCTGCATGAGGGAGAGAGACATAAAAACAGAGAGAGAGAGAGAGAGAGAGACGGAGGAGGCCACCCATTAATGAAGAAAAACGCTGACCGGGAGGCTATTAACCTTTTCCATTTTACAACCACTTAACCCTTTCAGAGGGCTGAGTAAATCAACGTTATGGCAGAGATGGTATTGATCGCCCTGTGATAATTGATTGATCTGTATCGAACGGGTCACCCTCTGTCTGTGTGTGTGTGTGTGCTGCAGCAGGGGTGCAAATAAAAACCAGTACGTTATCAAATTACAATATCTATTATTTAACATGTAACGCATGCTTCACAATTGGGTTTCGTATGTGTTTCCGTGTCAATATCTGGGCTAACGAAATTGAACATTACGAAAGAAGAAGAATTGATCAGCTGCATGGAAATGTGCCGTGTATGTGCGTGTGTTTTGCCAGCGCAGATACATGTGCGCCTGGGGAGCGAATGGGGGCAGTAAACCATCTGATTATTGGATATTGACTTTACTGTTCTGTTTTATGAACATACAGCGAGTGGATTTTACTCTGCCGCAGTTTCGAGGGGAAAAAATGCTTAGCAGGACATTTCTTCCTCGGTCACGAGCCTTTCTCTGATAAAGTGAATTACAGTCTTCTCTAAAAGTCTCGTCAAATCACAACCTTTCGTTTAACTGACATTTATTTGCACAAATTAGTCACGATGAGGAGTTACCAAGCAGAAAAATATGACTTGTAAAATATAGACAATGTTGGTTTCTTCGCCACACTATCGCACCGCTACGTTATTGATGTACAGCCAGTTAAATTGAAAGTTGACGCTATACATTCAAACATGACAGCTTAACTGATTATTGATAAGCCACGGAGCTGGAATTAGTGTATTGATTGAGAGTGCACTGACCAGTTGTTGACCTGTAAGATGGTCAGTCCTGTGTCCAGAGACAGCTGCTTCTTCTGCTCCTCGGACGGGTACGGGTGCTGGGAGAGGACACGCAGAGCGAGGGTCAGGAGAAATCACAACACGCCACACAAGTGAAGCTTTGTTCATCAACGAGAGAAGAGGCTACTAGAGACGTAATGTTTGAATCTACAATAGAACAATGCGCGTGAGAGAAATCTGACAACCTTCCATCCGAATTTCACATCTGCACTCACAGTTTCAACCCCAGTAAGCCCTCAATCTCTCTCTGTATTTATCTCTCACACACACACATACTGTAATATAATATAATTGGCGTGAAGCAACATTTGACCTGCCTCATTTAGTAGATAATTGCCTCGCCAACAATTACTCACTCCATTTCTATCGCTTGCACAGCTATTCAATAGCGAGCATATTCACATAATCACTTAATCCTTTGATTTTTTCATTTCATTTAATTGACCTCCATTAGGCACTCGGTTCAGCTCTCTGTCTGTTCTCGTCAGCGATGTTTCGCCTCGCACTAAATCTTCTCTTTCAGTAATTAGTCTCTCATGCAGCGCTGGACACCAGCTTTCTTTGTTCATGACAGGCTCTCCGGGATGGTTTTAATTATTGTGCAAATTTAATATTTCCCCGTGTAATAAGTTCACTTTGATCTCACCGACAGGTGCTGGAAGAGCCACGCCCTCATGATGTTTGTGGCCACTTTGGGGAAGATGCCCCTCTTCTTGTTGTTCCTCCTGTCTCTGTCGGAGTCGTCGTCGTCCCCCGTACTGGGGGAGGCCCCTCCTCCGTCCAGACCATCGCCTGCAGGGATGCACACATCATGTCTCAGGGTACGAATGATACAAGGTCATATTTATCAGCAGATATGTTCTATTTATATTTTTGCCATAACATTTTTGAGCCTAAAAGTGTTTTTTTTGTAGAATTTCTTCTATACTTTCTTATGCAAATTCACTCTAATAGTAATAATAATAACTTTAATGATTTCTTATGTGTAAACTGAATAAAAAGTCACATTAAAATGAATTCCACTTTAATTGACTGCAATAATGATCAATTCTGCTGCAAAAATAAATTAATTAACAACAATGATTAGCAAATGAGATGCATTTAAATGGTTAGGAACTAAATACTTCAGTGTTTTTCCTAATATTTAATACAGTGCAGTGTTTTCTCACAAATAGTATTTTGTGCGTGTGCGTGTGTGTGTGTGTACGTACCTGGGTCACTACAGTTGTCTAATGTGCTGTGTGAAGGCAGGCCGCAGGTGCCCGGCGTTCCCAGGGGAGTAGTGGCACATTCATCTGGCTCCCGTAACCATGATGCATTCTGCAGGAAGAGAAGAGATGGAGAGGAGGTTGGAGGCAGAGTCATGGGAAGATGGAGAATGCAGCACGGTCACGCAACACTATTCAGGCCTCCAGTGGAAGCAGCAGGACGGGTGAACGTTGGCGTCTCTCCTACACTGTTAACTTCCTGCTATCCGACATGTCTCACCTGCTCCGACAGACTGGTGCAGGATCCGGTGAAGTCCTCCATGTCAGACTTGGAGCCGCCCTCCCGGTCATCCAGGATGAGGTCTGTGGGCATTTTGCCCTTCAGACAGGTGATGTAGCGATGGCAGAAGTTATCGCACAGGTCGTGCACCTTCGGAAACAGATTTACACTCATCAGTGCACCACCACTACTTAATCATCGCCTAAACAATGTATAGTAGTGCGGTTAACATTGAACATTAAAGAGCAGGTTCACATATTTTTCAAGTCTCTTCTAAAACAATATACACATTCCCACAAAAGTGTTCAAATGGAAACATGCTTCTCTCCCACCAACCTTCTCTAGCTCCAGTAAATGAAAGCGAAGAACCTGTATGGCCTGGATCATCTGTGGAGAGGAGAATGTGGATTACTTAACGCATTTCCCACAATGCACGTGTGGTTAAAAGCGGGTTCATATTTTCATTATCATACCAAGTTGTCGAGCTCGGGATTGGAAGAAAATATGGGCTTCTCTGATCGGATCTGCGGCACAAAATTAACGAATGATTACAAATCTGGAAAAAACACGCTTTCGTCGGCGTCTGCTCTGCGATTGGCTCGCGCTGCTGTCACTCACCTGCTTGGCAAACGCGGCGATGTCGTCGTTGAAGGATTCAGAGGAGCAGACGTCGCTGTGGTTGGTCATGCCGGGGAGGTGGGAGGTGGCTGAGAGGGAGGCGGGGTCTCGAGGGGAGCAGGTGGCGAGCTCGCACTTTTCAAACACTAAGGCCAGCAGTGGAAACAGTGGGTGACTGCACGCACACACACACACACACACACACACACACACACACACACACAAACACACAGTTAACATACTATACATAAACACAGTAACAGTTGACACAGTGTACACACGATACATTTACAGAAGGTGAAACTTTATAGCACAGTATTTATGAAGCAGACAGCTGTAAACACTTCACATGTATTTTGATATTCAGTACTCAGATATAGACTGTATGTTAATCTGCTAAAAGTGCAAATATAATTCAAACAACTATGTCACTAACAGGCTGCATAAATCATTGTCTCCACCTCATCTGGGCTTCAAACACACGTGCTTACCCGTAGATCTGGTCTTTGTGGTGTTTGAGGGAGTCGGGGATGGTGGGTCCGTAGTGTGGGGGAGGAAGCGACCTGACGTCGTCCCCGTACCCCCCCAACGACATGCCCTCCGACCCCGAGTAGTGCACCAGCTCTTCATACTGAAACACAATTAGACGGAAAGACAGAAAACATGAGACACGTTCGACATCTGTGCCTGACATCAAATCTCGTTGTGATTTTATTAAGCTGTCAGGGCGCTTCAGTGGCGCGGCTTACTGGACCCACACTGAACACACTCAGATATCGGCTGCATGCGCTTTTATATCTGCAGCAGTGTTTGTGTCCCAACTGCTGAACACATTTTGTTCTGCCGTTAATGTTAGAACTTAGTGTTGCATGTTTTTGTGTGTGTGTGTGTGTGTGTGTGTGTGTGTGTGTGTGTGTGTGTGTGTGTCTGTGTCTGTGTGTCTGTGCGCGTGTGTATTCGGGCTGCAACTAACATTTATTCTCACTGATTAATCTGACTATTATATTCTTAATTAATCATTTAGTCTGTAGCTCCAAAACCCACGTTGACATATTTGATTTGCTTGTTTTGTCTGACCAACCTTCCAAAACCCCAAAATACTCAATTTTCTATCATAGAAAACGAAGAAAATAAGCAAATATTCACACTCAAGAAGAAGGAACCAGAGAATTTTGGGCATTTTTGCTTTTAAAAAAAAAATGCCTTAAACGATTATTAAAATAGTTTCCGATTAATTGTATTCATTATTCTATCCACTGATCTGTAATTGTTTCAGCTCGTAGACACTACATGCATATGTGTCGGTCAGTTGTAGTTACAGTAGAGTTGTAATGGGAATACGCTTCAATCACTGCAAGCACAACAAACACGGATATCAATAATCAAAAGTAAAAAAAGGATGAACTTCTTTTTACTCAAATCATTCTGTCAATATTTACAACTGTGTAATGTAGCTATATACTACCCCCTGAATGTGTGTGTGTGTGTGTGTGTGTGTACATTGATAGATGTCACTGCAGTTTTGTGTACTGTACAATCCATTTGTGTGTGTGTGTGTGTGTGTGTGTGTGTGCTTGAATATCCCCATTCCGTCATGAAGGGAAAGCTCTCTTGCTTAGAAGGCGAAGCGTGGAGGAGAAGTGAAAGAGGGGTGAGATCCACGGAGGAAGACGGCGAGCCTGTAGCTGCTAATATCGTCTCCTCCCTCCTCGACTCTGACTAGACAGGAGCCGTGCTGAGACGTCCCTCATAACCCGCTGTGGCAGCCTCACCGGGGGCCCGCTAACACACACACTCTAACACGGTGAGTCAGACACACATATGGCAGGCTCACACACACACACATACACACACACATACAGAGATACAGCATCTTGTACACATAGCATCATGAATATACATGTCTCCCTCTCTGGTTTACCCCCCCTCTCTTTCTCTGTGTTACGGAGCTAATTTGTGCTTCGCTGCAGCTACATGTCTCTGAGGCGGCGGTGCTCAGGTCAGCAGATCTGCTTCTGTTCTCTTTCTGCTGTATTAAAGGGTCATGGTCCCAAAGGGCCACTGGGATCACACAGACAGGCAGCACCTGCTGGGTGACCTGGACACCTCTCACTTCTGTGTTATTTTAACCGAGCTATAAAAGTTATTATCTGCTTAGTTTTTCTGTGGACACCATTCCCCAAAGAGGCTTCGACAAGAGGTTGTGATTTACTACAGACGCGTGTAATTGCAGACAAAAACAGGGACAGTGACTCCTTTATTTTTGTTCTTTCAGATTTGCAGTAATTTAAACTATATTTCTATTTTTTAAATACTTATTAGCACTTTTAGTGCTCAAAATGGCTAATGAACAGGATTTGTGTCCAAAAGTGTCCATATATATTGGACACTCCCCAACATAAGGTCCGTTATTCTCACATATTCTCTCAATGTTGACCTCTGTGAATGTAATGAAATATAAATAAATAAATCCTCCTCATGTGCAAGCACTGTCGTCATGCAAACCCCTCTGCAATACCCCTGCAGGTCTCCGGACCCCACTTTGGGAACCACTGTCCTAAATGGTTTATCAAATTGTTGTATTCCAGAGTCCCATATGGCCACCGGGATCACAGAAAGCACCTGCTCTGAGGCCCTGGCCCGGGACACCTTCTAGTTTTTATGGACGCTGGCTATTAACACAATCACCGCTATCGGATTGCGCGTCTCTCTTTACGCACGGCTCCTATCGGGTTTCTGTACGTCAAGCGGATCAAAGCGCACAAGTCGAGATGACAAATTCCGCGAATTACCCTTTTTTTTTTTTTAAGTCACGGAGCTGGTAAACAGGCATCAGATGGCAGGACAACAAGTTTGAATTGTTTATTTCAACCGACGCAGAGAAGTTGTTGAAGGCCTACGAGGCGTCTTTGGGCTTCTCGGCACATTCAAGGAACATCATTTAGCTTCACTGGATTTATATTGGACTAAAACGTTATATTCTGTAAAATGAAAAGTAAAAAATGAAGACGGAGTTTGGTGCAGAGATTCGTCTCATACTTCAGACTAAAAGTCTAACTGAATCAATAAACCTTCACAATTAATTAGGACGGGTCTATTTAACTTTGTTAACAACTACATTTTATTCTATAATAATGGCTGTTATAAAACTAAAGCCTCTTTAAAAAGAGTCCTGTAGAAAACAAACAATCCATAGTCCAACTCATTCGTTTTCTCACTGTGCAGATTCAGAAAAACAAAAGTGTGAATTAAATTGACTTTAAGTGTCGTAGTTCTCTTTCTGCACTTTAATGAACAATACTGAGAACAACAAACTAACGGAACTAAGCTGATATAAACATAATGCATATACAAAGTAATCACGCATATTGAATATGTCTATAGTTGTGATACATTGTTTAAAATTAATGATTCCTGCATTTAAAGCAAATGAAACGAAACTAAATCAAACTGGACTTTCCTACAGGGTGCCAAACAAAATACAACTTTTTAGACTCTCCCAACGTTTTTCCAAACATGCGTCAGAACGATCTCCATTTGGTTTACTTACAATTTCATCCTGTTAGACTTTTGTTTATCATACAGCGTTGTTACTGTACAAAATAACTTTCATCCAAAATCCAGTACATAACATTTGGCTGCAAAAATGACCCAGTAAAGTACATTTATATTACTAATAACAGCAGAAAGTTACTTGATTCTTTATTTCATTTTTGATGGAAAGCAGAGTTGGTTATCTGTGTGTGTGTGTGTGTGTGTGTGTGTGTCTGTGTGTGTGTGTGTGTGTGCGTGTTTTACAGTAGGCTACATGTGTGTGCTGTACTGTAGTGTGTGTGTGCTCCTCTCCTTCCTGCTGTTTTCATACAGCAGTGGTTTTCTATCTCTAATTGCTCTCCTCCACTCAGCCACTGTCTGTCTGTTTCTCCAGCACCACGATGCATTTGAATCACTATAGCAAAAAAAAAAACCACCACCTACTTACCAAGCTGCAGAGCTGCATCTCCTCTCCTCTGCATGACCTACACACCACTCTAACCCTTAATGTGCCATTATAACGCCTGACTGACATTGCACAATACAATTATTTTTAAGGGAGGATGACATATTAGATCCGAATCAACAGTTCCTCATGAATCGCTTTATGGGATTGCTGATGTGCATTACAACTCACACAGGACTTTCATTGAAGTGCATTTCACCTCCTGAACTAGGGTTTATGACTGTTTAAAGTTATTTATTTGCAGCACAATAAAAAAGCTCATAAAGACATTTGAAGAACATTTCTAAGTTTTTTTACTTTATAAAAAAAGCACGCTTTCCTGTTGTTTTCCCCGAAACATGAAGTCCATGCTAACAGCCTACAGTAGTCTGTTTCCACTGGGCCTTGTGTTTTGACTGCTACACCCAACCAGCAGTGCAAATAGGATTCCTAACCATATACTCCCATTAATATGCTTTTTCTAATTACCTCGTCTCCATGCCAGATATGAAATCTGATATCTCATTAGGCTCTGGTCTAAACCATTCTCATATTTAAAAAAAAAGCAGACCTACCCTCTTCTCCATGCGACTCGACAGCCAGTCCTACACCGGAGATGGTGATGCGCTGCTCGGTTAGTCCAGCGAGCTTTGCTCCCTTCCTCTGTCCCTGGAAATAAAAGTAAAAATGTTTTTATTTTTTTTAAATTTGTATTTTAATTGATAACACTAACATTGTAAACACGATTAACACCATGCAAAACCCTCCCATATGGAATCAACAAAAACATGAGGCTGTGGGTAGAAAACAGTGAAGACCTGCTTCGTGTGAGTGAGTGTATGTGTGTGTGTGTGTGTGTGTGTGTGTGTGTGTGTGTGTGTGTGTGTTTACTCCGAGCCCATCGCGTTTTAAATTACAACATTATGATGTGACTGGAGAGATTTTATGGACGTTAATATCCTTGTATACGCTTTTGTCGATGTGAGCTTAATGGTTTACAATACACTCAGCGCCAATAAACGCTATAATAAAGCTCGCAGCCTATTAAACGCTACTGGCTGATGGTGCTGAGCAGGCTGATACACACACACAAGGCTCCAGTAAATGGTGTAAAATGTCCCACCGAGACGTAAATATCCAGTCCTGCTCGGGCCGTGTCCGGTGTAGTCCAGAGCCCCGGTGAGAAAAGAAGCAGCGGTTTCCTGCAGCGCCTCGCCTTCCGCCTGGTGCGCCTCTCGCTCCGGCTCGCAAGCACGTCGGGGGGGATGCTCGGTGCTGTGGAGGGCAGACGGAAAGCGTCCCTTCCTTTTTTGGCTCCTTGTGCTCGCTGTCCGCGCAGCATACGGCGACGGGCTGCAAAATGTCACGGCTGGGAGTGAGCGATGGTGTTTTCTGTCTCAAGAGGAGAGGAGAAGAAGAAGGAGGAGTGGTGATGGTGGTAGTGGTGGCGGTGGTGTGCGGGGAGGTTTCGGAGGGTCAAAACGCGACGGGGTCTCTTGCCCCCCCTCCCTCCCCTTCCTCCTTTACTCCTCCTCCTTATCACACACACAAACGCCAGAGAAGAAGAAGACCCCCTCGATCGTTTTATCTCGGCTCTCCTCCGAGCTGATATCACTCCTCCATCATCCTTCGCCACTCTCTCCCTATCCCTGCTGCCGCAGCTGCGCTATCATCTCCGGGATAACTCGGGAGAATAATCGTGCTAACTGTCATTGTAGCGGTTTGGAGCATGTTAAACAGTCTATTAAACTCCTAGCAGCCAATTAAGGTGATAAGAAGAGGCACAACGCAGATATTTAATCCACTACACATATTTAATATATTATATTTATATTTCTACATCTATATTTATTTCTTTAAAAGACGGCAGGTAATTTGCCTCAACATTTCAAATCTAATTACAAATTAATTTGAAATATGCACAAAATCATCTACATGTTTTTTTTACCTGCAGGAGAGTTCATTTTAAGGGCAATTGCATTAAAAAAAAAAAAGAGTTTTAATCAAGTCGCTCCTCATAAATAAGTCATAAATAAGTTTTAAGCGTGCTAGATGACATGAAATGTTCTATCTGGTAATAGCTTTCAAAGTGTTTTTTTGTTTTTCTCAATCAGTTGTAGCTCAGCCTTTTGACAGAGCCCAAATGTCAGCCTTTGTCTCTCTTTTTGTTGATTGGGAGAAGTGAGAAAACAAAGCTTTCGCCGTGAGAAAGTTTAATTCTAACCACAGAGAGAAAAAAGAGCCCTTTCACATGTTGGTGGAATAGCTAAACTCCCAGTCTTGTGTTGTAAATGTCACCTAAGTAACATAATAATTATTCAAAACGCTCCCCTTTCCCCGGTCCCGCTGTGAGGGGCCAACAGGCGGCTGCACTTCAATCAGCAGCGGCTTTGCGGGGAACAGCGGGCCGGGGCAGGCGTCTCCGTGGGCGGCATGGAGTTTGACCGTGGGCCGGCCTGTGAGGGGCCCCGCACAGTCCGTAGAGCCAGGGGTCTTTTTAACTCTGCAGGGTGCTGGTTTCCTGCAGGGGTGATCACAGCGCTCACTCCCCCCTCCTACACTGAGCCCGTAATACAGCCATCAAGCAGCGTCAATGGGCTGGAAAAGACGATCCGAGGCTTGTTTTCACTCCGTTAACAGGTTGAATGAGAAGGATTAACACGGACGTGTGCGTCATCTGAAGAATTCATGTCACAGGGCTTTATATTTCCTCATTCCTCTTCATGCAAAACCTTTACAATCCACAAATTACTGGCTACTTAAATGTTATTGAGAGTGACTTCTTTCAGTGTTTGTCTCCAGGCCACTTTAACTTGGACCATAAATCTCAACTCTCTGTAACATTTATCTAACAGACTATTATCTAAACATGCAGATCACGCTCATTTACATCACAACGCACGAAAGGATCTGCCATTTTCTTCACATCTCCCTGTGTCCTGTGGGAAGACACCATACTTTTATGCACTGCATATGTTAATGAGAACCCATTTTGACACAACATATGTTGTTAAACATGTGCTGAAAGGTAGCACAACTGTCCCAAAGAAGACACACAGATGTCCTGTGATATCTAACCAGAATTAAAATAAAACAAGATTTAATTCAGATATCGCCATCACATAGAAAACACCAAGGTGGATTTGAAATAAGACATATGAGGTGAAATGAGTTAACGAGTAAAACATTTAAATAACCACATTTGTAAAACAAAAAATGTAAATAATTTTTGTCTTGTTTTTATTCAAACTTGAATCAGTTCAAACACATGAACATTGTTTCATCAGTTTGATTTTTCACTTTTTTTGAGTTTTGCTTTTCGTCTGTTCTGTGATTAATGTCGACTGTACTTTCTTTTTGCACACAGCGCTGCCTTCCCAAATCCCAAAGAAGTTCCCGGAGTTCAGTTTGTTCAGAAGACATCAGAGAGTCTCTGGGGTCAAACGTAAGTAACATCACCAATACACACACACATAACATATTTGTGTATGAATGCCTTTTTGGCTAACACATGGAATATAGACAATACATAAATACATAAAATATATTTTCTTATTTAACAATCGTTTGTCCTGATCAACAAATTGTTTGTTGCAAGGATTATCACTTCAATACTTTTCCATACACTGAGATCAGAGGAAAGAAAGAGTAAACAGAAACCTTTGGTTGATCTTATTATTAATAATAACAGTTTGACACATACAGTGGTGCAGTGGGATCTATGGGACCCCAAACAAAACACAAAGTTTCAACCATCTGCTCCGACATGAAATAGATTTCCCTTTTAATGCCTTTGGAAGATTTTTCTTATCGCCATCCGAACATGATGTCAAACTGAGTCAAAATGTAAAACCTAATTATCTAAAATGCATCACGTTGCATGTTTTCAGCAGCACATTACTTGCATTTCCACTTGTTTACTACTTCCTCCCGTTGTGGAGCTCCCCTGTCAGAAACAGGCTCCTTTCCTGCACCACACAGTTGAATATCAGTGGGGCACGTTCCTTCTGCATGTCAAGGCTGCTGCAGTTATTTGTCACTCCCTGTCGAGGCTCAAGCGCTCGCTCCTCTGCACCCACCGAGGCCTTTTGACTTTGTGCGCTCGGACTAGCAATGCAAGTGTGTTCACGACGGGTGTGTGTGTGTGTGTATGTGTGTGTCCGTTGCTTTGTGTGCTTGCCTGCTGTAGGGTCAGTGTCACGGTGCTCCTATTCTAAGTTGGGCCTCACTGCAGGCGATGCCCTGGGCTATTTAACAGGGAACAACAAGCAGAGTGTGTGCATAACTGTGGATGTTTACCTGCAATGACTGCATGTGTTTCTGTAGCTCCTTTTGTGAGATTATAATGGAATTCACCGCTGTAATATCATAAAGTTCTGACTAGATTGCGAACTAAAGATGGCAGACTTTAGGCTTTTACAAACTGCTCTTTTCCGGCCTGTAGTTTTCTGCCCAACGTGATGGTGTTTGGTGCAAATGGTTCACATGGAAGTGCATCATCCGCAAGGCGAAAAAAACAGCCACCTCCACAAACTGTTGTTGTTTTTACTTTGCCAAAAAAGTCGAGTTTACTTGATTCCACCAGAGAGAGAGAGAGAGATGGAGGTAGAAGGCCACCCAGCCTTGTTGACTTCAGTGACTCTGCCATTAAGAAAATATGGCTGCCTTGACCTCTGGCACAACCGCCCAATACATCAGAGAACTGTGACCCTCCACTGCCTGCATGAGAGAGAGAGAGAGAGAGAGCGAGAGAGAGAGAGAGAGAGGAAGGCAAGTGATGGAGGGAAGTAAAGGGAGAAAGGGTAAAAGTGAGGGTAGTTGAGGGGGTGCAGAGTGCATTTTTATGAGCCTGTGCCTCTCCAGTTTCTGGGTCGTCTGGCCGCATAGACATACATTTCCCCCCTTCCTCCCTTCCCTCCATACATCTCTCCTGCTTTCTTCTGGCACACTCGCCAAGCAAAATCCAGCCTTATCTACTCTTGAAGCCGTTTGCAAAATGTTTCCTTCAGTTTCTCTCAGTTCCTCCCGGGTCATTCCTCTTCCTTTACTTACCTGTTTGGGCAAGGCCTCTCACCATTCCTTCCCTACTCCCTTCTGCCTCCCCGTCTCCATCTCGTTTTGTTTATAGTAAGCCAACACTACCTTTTCCCACTTCTGTTATTTTCTTCCTCTCCTTCTCCAGCCCTCCTCCCCCACCCACTTCTTATAGATGGAGATTAACTGGGGGAGCGCAGCGCCATCCGTCCTCCTGACTGTTTGTTGTTAAGGAGATGGATGGAGGCTCCCTCTGCCAGCCCCACGCAGCCGCAATTACACCAGCCGCCATGATGGATGGAGGGGAGGGAAAGGGGTGGTGGTGGGGAGTTGTGGGGGTGCAGCAAGGGAGATACAGAGAGGGGCATCTATCACGCCCCTTAATCTACCTGTCACTGCTAGGGCTTGGGTAGAGAGGGGGGTGGGGGGGTCTGCTTCATCCTGACTGCTGGTCAAAGGTTTAATTCTTTTCTTTACTCTGAATTTGTTTCTTTCTGGAGAATTAGGCCTCCAAGTACTGGACTCATTAAATGTCCTGATCACTCCAATTGATTTCCAGCAGCTTATTGGATTCTGTTGAAAATACCGTGTGCGTGTGTGTGCGTGTGTGCGTGTGCGTGTGTGTGTGTGTGTGTGCGTGTGTGCGTGTGTGTGTGCGTGTGTGCGCGTGCTTGACAGGCATTAACATTAGCGTGGGAAGGGGGTGATGCTGCTGGGGCTGCTGGCCAGAGAAACAATCCCTGATAAAAAAATAATGTTAACAGTTTCCTTCTAAGTGCTTGTGGATGCATCATACATCCCACCAAAAAAAATGTCTGTGCTCATGTGCGTCAACAGGTGATGCGTTGCCGTTTCTGTTACACTTTTGCAGAGATGCACGTTTCGCATGTAGACACATTTTTTGCATAGACGTCATTATGGCACATACACTTATACACACAACCCCGCACTGCATAAACATGCAAACAACTGGATAGCACACACACACACACACACACACACCTCCACACTAAGTTGTTTTTCATCCCATCTGTAGCTATTGCCTCTGCACTGCGCCCACACACACTCCCTCTGCAGCATCTTCTCATCCTCGTACCTGTTGAAGGTACCAAAGCAGTGACCTATTATCTTGTAAATCTACATATATTGGCTGTAATGCCTCTCCATTTGTCCCACAATGCTACGGAAATATTATGAAAAGTAATCTGAGGTCTCCCATCTTCTACCCCTCCTCCTCCTCCCATTTCCATCCCCATCTCCCTCCTCCACCTCCTCATCTGTCCAGAGGAGTGAGAGATGGGATGGAGGGATTAATACTCTTCCGCCCAAGCCAACCCTGGGAATGATAGATGGACAGATGCAGGAAGGGAGAGGAGGAGGAGAGGGAGATTAAAGGAGAGAAGTCTTGAGGGTTCATAAATCCAAAGTGAGACCTGGTCCGCATCACACACTAATAAGATCTGCAAGAAATCCATGATGGGGGGGGGGGGGGGGGGAGAGGTGGAGAGAGAGAGATGGGAGCGGTGTAATAGCATTAGATGTAATCTAATCATGGCAATAAGATGTGAATGGATGAGTGTGAGCATGGTGATTATGCAGAAGAGGGATGGCGGTGTGTTGATGAAGCTCTGAGGCGCGAGGACAGGCCGCGTTATTGAACAACAGATCAGCGGCGTTGTGGTCCTCACTGGGGACTTTTTCTGCTGCAAACACCGTGTTCATTTTTATTTGGTCTGATTCCGTCGCTCTAACCGCTCCCCACGAGGAAGCAGTGCGAACACAGTGGGTGCCACATGGTGGCAAAAAAAGGCCTCAATTCGATGTAAATGTGAATCAGGGATAAAAATGTGTCTGTTGAAGTGGGATAGCCCGTGTGTGTGTGTGTGTGTGTGTGTGTGTGTGTGTGTGTGTGTGTGTGTGTGTGTGTGTGTGTGTGTGTGTCATCGTTATGGTAAGAATCAGCTGTAAGTGCACAAAGTGCAGTTGTGCAGCCGTGACCTGACTCGGATCAGATAGAGTGCTCCCTCACCTCCCTCTTCTCCTCCACGACCCCGCTGCCGCCCTCCACCCTAAACTACCCCCCCCCACCAGCACCACCACCACAACCTCCCCTCCATCCACCCGGGCCACATTTTTCATGGCCCAGCTGTCAGAGGGCCGTGATTGGTTGGCTCTGCAGACAGATAGCCGATAGGCTCTGATTAATAGTTGAGGCCCAAGACCTTCCTCATTGATCAACAGGACAGGCTGGAGGAGGAGGAGGAGGAGAGAGAAAAAGCATGCCCTGTCGCTCTGCAAGTGCTGGCTGATAACCCTGATAGTGGCTCTTGGAGTGTGTGTAACTGTGTGTGTGTGTGTGTGTGTGTGTGTGTGTGTGTGTGTGTGTGTGTCTATTTGTGTGATTGTTTACAACAGCAAAGAGATTAGCGGATGAAATGGAGGCACTGCAGTAAGAAAAAAAAGGTTTCAGGTTTATTCGCTTTCCTTCCAGCTTTAAAGCTTTGTCTCCGGGCTGAAGCGTGTGATAGCATCTGTGAGTTTCCATGAATAAGAAAGCATGTATGTTATCAAACAAAACACACACTGTTTGGCTGGCAGCTAATGTCTGAGGGGCCTTTATGCATGCAATTGTGTGTGTGTGTGTGTGTGTGCGTGTGTGTGTGTGTGTGTGCGTGTGCGTGTGCGTGCGTGCGCGTGCGCATGTGTGCTGAAACATTTAATATGTGTTTGACATCTATTCTAATCATCATACTTGTTTGATCCAAATGTGCTTTTGGTGTATTTGTTTTGTTGCCCAGGTACATCTGCAGAGTGTATGTGTTACAGTATCTATGTGTG